TCGTCGTCGTCGTCGTCGTCGTCTTCCTCCTCCTCCTCATCATCGGCGGTTGTGGCGGTAGTAGCAGCAGTCATGTACAGGTAGCTAAGCAGTTGAGCAGTTGCCTGGTCGTCGTCGTCGTCGTCGCCACCACCGGCGTCGTGGTTGTCGAGTAGCTTGCAAAACATAGTGTCATCTTAGTAGCGATAGATGAGCCACAGTACGAAAATTATGAGTTAAATGCATCCAAGGATCAACCGTCGCACAGCTTCGTTTCGGCGGCCATCAGAACAAAGATTAGTTCAAATGAATGGCCAGCACCGCGATCTAGTTCGCTCGGACAGAACACGCGATGCAGCCTCAATGCTCCTGAGGAAACGTCCGAAAGACACCCTAAAATCTACAACGACCTAGAAGAGGCAACGACGGCTGGCCCAGGGTGCTTTCCCAGGATTGCCTGGCCGCATAGGGACTCACACGAGCGTTGCCTGACTCGGGGCCGCGGCTACAGACTGCATCTATCTACTTGAGGCACTGCTTGCTTTACCAATGCTGACAACGCTTTTGTGCTTGCACTTAAAAGACGGAGCTCTCCTGATGGGAAGGTGTGTCCTCGACTTCCACGGCTGCTGTAGATGAAGCATCGCAAATATGACAACTATGAGTGCAGAAAGACAGTTCCTGGTTTACATTTTTACGAGCAACAGCTGACAGGTTGAAGAGGACGCACCGTCTACGAGGGACTGCACTTGATAGCAGCAAGAAAGGGCACACAAGAACAGCTTCGGGACTTGTCTATTCTGAGCAGTGTTCCATGCGGGGTGGCAAGGGGTCTTTAAGGAAGGAAGATGCTTCCTTCGCTTCCATTCGCCAGGCGGAAGGCGGTTTCAGTAACATGGCGTGCCATGTGGAGAACGGCACAGCCGGAGCTATTCGGAGGTGAAAATGCGAAAATCACGTCGCCACCGGCCTCTCATTACGTGCATTGCCTAAAAGAACAGCAATCAGCAAGCAGTCAAGACTGATGCTTTGAGAAGCCAGAGCGGGTGCACTAACTCAATGTGGCAGCAACCCACGAAGGAGTTTGGACGGCCAGGGATGCAGAAACTGCGTCTAGGGTGGCGGCTGGGGCGGTTGGACAAGAACCGCGCAGTTTGCAGCAGCTGGCTGAGCAGACTGCATGACAAAATATATGTCATTCATGCACAGCTGATCTGATGGCATTTCTGCCACAATTCAAAGCCTTCTGCTGCTGCCTGAACGCCTGGCGGAGATCTAAGCTGTGCTTGTTCATGGCAGGGGTGGCTTCGAACGAGTGAAAAGGAGCTACATCACATCCCAATAGCGCAACCGGCGCACCTCATAGCAAGGACGCCAGGTCTGCTCCCACGAGCTGCTCTTCTAGCGGTGCGCGTTCCTGGCTGCCAACTCCGCCAAACATGTGTCCCTTCTGCAGATATGATTCTCTGGAACACTCCCGCCTGACTTCCGTCGAACTTTGCATGCTTGGTCTCAAGCTGGTTCAAGCTTGTGTGCTGCACAGCTTCTACCTCGTCGGATCTCGTCTGACAATTCGAGCTGAGTGCTGACTCGGTGGTACCACTTTGAAACCTTTGAAACCTGCATCCTCGATCTTCGTCCCCAACTCCCGGCCTTGACTTTGGGAAAGCTGAGCCAAGTCATGTGGGAGCTCACCAGCACCGCCTCCCAGAAGCTTCACTATTTAGTATTATAATAAACTATATTATGATTTAATATTATATTAAACTATATTATATTATAATATAATATTATATTAAACAATATTATATTATATTGTATTAAGTCATCCAGAGCGCTCCAACGCGCTTTTTCTTGCGTCAAAAAGCGGCCTGCTGGCTGCCCGGGCCAAGGCCAAATGAGGCCTCGTGCCTTACGACTTACGATGCGACGAAGCTCTCTTTGCCCTGACCTCAACCCCCTGCACCTTTCACCACAATGCCCTCTCCCTAATGCCTGCATGTTCTGTGAGATATTGAAGCCAAAAAGGAGAATCAGCAGTGTTGCATGTGCAATAATCAAGGTGAGTTTAGGTGATTGGCTTGTGCCATTCCGGGTTAGCGGTGCCCCGACAGAATGGAACGATATCGGCAGAAACGAGCTAGCACCTCGGATGCAATCTCCGCCAGATTGACTACATATGTCCTTGAACCCAACACCCACGCCAACAGTGTGCTCGTTTGTGCAGTTCGTTTTTCTGTTCTTTCTTCTGCCCGGCTTTGTGGAACCGTTCGGGCCCCCTCCGTGACTGGACCACGGTTCCCATGAACTCATGCCGGCATTTGCGACCGCGGCGCCTGGCTACATCTGCTTCCGGGGAAATGCTAACTGCTAATACTCCGGCTTGCGCCAAAACCTACGATTACTGTCCAAAGGAGCATCAGCATTTGCCGAGCGTGATTTAATGGGTCTACCTGGCCCGAAACTCCTCGACCCGGTTTGTTGTCATAGCTCTTGTTGTGGTCTCTGTTGAAGCTGCTAGTGTTGTTGGTGTTGTTGGTGTTGCTGTGGTTAATTGCAGCCAAACTGAAATGGTCACCGTTGACGGCCCGGCCCTCACTCTCCCCTGCCACCGGAAACCGGCTAGGTCTCAGCTTCCAAGCTACATGTGTGCCGGAGTTTGCTCAAGCACTGGGGTGACTAGGGTTCGAGATTTGAGCTCAGGACAAAGGTGGAGCCACCGAAGCCATCATCATGGATGTGGCCGTCTGCGGTCCGACCTGTCAAAGCATGCGGCAAGCCGTGCGAAGCACCCTGACATTGCATGCCGTGCCACCCCGCCTCTGCCGTCTCTGGGTTGGGCAAGTTCAACAAAATTGATTCGCCCTTGGCCCTTAGAGACTGCCGGATGAGAGTACCTGACAGAGCACCCAGGCCACTAAAGACTAAAGCAGCACTTCTTCGCGTGATGGCTTCTTGCATATTCTCTCGCTGCCACATGCTGCAGCCTCTCGATGTGGTTGACGTCACTGTGGCTCTCAGATCTTCGGGCTCTTGCCCATGTGAACTTTGATAGAACAGGTGCTTGGAAAGTGGGTCGCGGGTATTCCACATTTTCGTCCCTTGTCCGTGTGGTTGTTTGGACGCTCAAACCTTCGGTAGTCCCTGGATTTGGCCAAAATGGCAGCTCGCAGGACAGTCTGCGAGTTTCACTGTAGGACGGTCCATTCACGGCGGCGTTCATGACGGCATTTCGTGTTTCAGGTGGCACACATCAGGCAACTTGAAGGTAGCTGGCCAGGCCACGGGAAGTAACATCAATCGGTCCCTGGTGGGTCATCCAGTTTTACTCTGAGCACGGGCAGGTTCGGGTAGATATTCCGTTCTTGGCAGCATTCGATGAAGCAAGAGCTTCTTGATCTTGATCTGTCGAGTCGCCATGACTCCCTCGAAATGACGGAGAGGATGAAATTAACGCGACCATGTTCCGCCGTCGCATCAACGCAAGACCAAACCTCGCAACTACTGGGTGGGTGCATTGACAACGCATGACGTTGCCAAGAATCTCCCTCCAGCCACTGCCGCCGTGATCTGGATTAAGCCGCGGAAATGGTTATTTGGGCAGAGATGTCGGTGCAGCCAGTGGTGGCGCGACGTAGACTCACTCTCAGTCCCTCTGAATTAGGAGCCTGTCGTCCCGGAATCGAAGAGGCCCTGCACCGGTGTCCGCGTCTTGCTTACACCTGAGCCAGGACTGCAAGCACCAAAGATGCGAGCAGCGCGGTCATAGCACAAACATGAAGTCTTGGGCGGTTGGACAAGTTGAACACTGAGTTCAGAACTGGCTGGACCAGCTCCCTTGCTCTGGATCTGTGTCTTGCGCTCCTGCACCCACACCATTTGCCAAACTTCTGTCCAAAATGTTTCCACTAGTCTTAGCATGACACACTCCTCGCGGACGAGCACGCGAGTCTGTTTCTCACTCCTCAAAGCACACTATGCAAATTACAGCCCGAAGACGGCGTTCATCTGTGCAGTGACTTCGACTTTGCAACCCCTCCCGGTAATATGTGGTACAGCGACCCCGTTGAAGGATGACTCTGTCACATTGCCAGTCATCGATCCGGTCCCCGTTGCCCCTTGTGAGGCCCAGTCCCACCGATGCCACTGTCCACGGTCATCGCGCAGTGACCTGTGCATGCAAAGCCGGAACCCATGTGCACAGAACTTCACAGAAACATCTCATCCCTACCGGCTCTGTCACGAACTGCCATCGTCTTGAGGTTCGAACGGCAGATGACAAGGCATGAGCCAGATTGGCTTGAGGCAAAATGGCGGAACATACTTCGATCGCAAGGTCGGGCTACTTCTGGAAATCATTGACTTAGAAATTCAACAGTCTTGGCGGGTTTCATCATGCTTTGACAAAGTCGCTTTATGGAGGGATGTCGGACGACACTTCCTTGCAGGGCCGGCAAAATCCGTTTTTTGTCCGCAGGGCCGTCTGCTCAAAGCTCCACATGAAGTAGGCGTGCCTCCAGCACAGGTCACGGACTCTCTGTATTGAGCCATTGGGTTATGTCGTTAGCGAACCTTTTGCAAAGTACTCTGGGGCTGACACGAATCACTTTCCTCCACGGGTTTTTCTGGACAGCTCGATAATGTTGCCCGGTCTCAGCGCAATGGCCAGTCTCAAGCTGCGGAAGCAAAGTGCTGCAAAGATATGCACAAGCACACATGCTCTTGGATGCATACGCGATGTTGTAGAAGGCCAATGAATTGGCCTGAGACATTTCATGCTACGAGTACGAGACACAAGCGTTCAAAAGCTGTGCTCCGGACATTTTTCAGGATGTAGCCTGTGTTCTGAACCTGCGTAGTCGTAGATGTGCCACTTGTTTGGACAAGCACTCCATCTTAACAGCGCTCTACAAACTCTTGCTTGTTCATGCACCTTGAGCTTCATGTCGGCTGCACTCAGTCCGGCAGCTGCTACCTGTCACGACGCGAGTTGCCGGGATATCCTTTGAGAGGGGCCCGTGCTCATGACGCCGCCTTGGGAACCAGCATTCCCTTGAGCTCCTGCACTTTGTTGCGCACAGACCTGCAAGACGTTGCTTTCCACTCCATCTGTTCGTGTAATACATCAGGCGGCATCAGGCGGCTTCAGTAGCAGTGCAGCCAGGGAACACTTCGATGGGGATGGCAGGCTGGATGCCCGCAGCCAGCGCGTCGGCTCCCAGGTTCACCTCCGGAAGCCGAGTTTTTATCGCCCTTGCCAGCATGATCAAATCGTTCTCAGCGCGACTTGGCCTGGACGATCACAGCTATGGGTACAGGATGTTTCGCCACCTTGGCAGCTTGCAGAATTGCAACATCAGGAGTGGACACTCAAGGATTTATGCGGAAGGTTGTCAGTAGGCCCAGTTCTCCTGTCCGTGACTCCATCCCGAAGGTGGCGTCACAGATTAACAACCGGTCTCAATAAATGGAAATCTTCATCCTCCCAGAAAAGCTGAGATCCAAGCCCACGATTCCTCGGCTTGGAGGCTTCCGTCGTCTAGGCGGGGCTTCTTCGCCGTTGGCTCGTCGTCCTCGTCATCGTCCGCTAAAGCCATCGGGCCTGCTTCCAGGTTTGTGGTGAAAGATGGAGGTGAGCCCGTGAGCCCCGGCGGCTGTACCTCCGGCCATTCCTGGCGGACGGATGCCAGGAGGTGCACCACCCTTAGCACGGAGATAATTGATACTGGTTCCAGGACTTTCCAAAACATGGCAGAGGAGATGATGGTGCTGATGATGGTAATGGTGATGGCGATGGTGATGGTGATGTAGAAGAAGAAGATGATGGTGGTGGTGCTGACGGTGACGGTGATGGTACGATGATGGTGATGATGATGGTGATGATGATGATGATGGTGATGATGGTGATGATGGTGATGATGGTGATGATGATTGTAGTGATTGTGGTTGTATGAGATGGCTTTAACACAAAGGATGATACGATCTGGACTGCACCTCGAACACTTAAGACTGTACAGTTGCGCCCGGAAGTCACGGATTTGAGTCGGTTTGTGGAATGGTCTTTCAGCCATCGCAGGCGATTGCGAGGCGGCCCGTCAGAAAATCGTCGCGACATGGTCCAAACCACGAGTAGCCCCAAATGCACCTGCGAAGGGTCTCACCCCAGATGGTGTCTGTTGCGGTTGCGGTTGCTCCAAACAGTAACCTGGCCAGACCTGCCTGAACCCAGCGATGCGATTCGCAAGCATGCAAACGGTCCCAGAGTCTCAAAATCCAAGCCAGTCCTGTCGAAATTTCCTCGTTACGTTAACTGAGATACTGCAGCCCCAACACATCAGGATGTCAGGGCGTTTTCGGAGCAGACGTGAACGCATGTCACCGTTTCCACGCGGGACGGCTTCGCGATGCGAGAAAGACACACACGGCAACCAACCTTCCTCGAGCAAGAAATGTACGTTTCCGGTCACTCTGATAAACAATTTGGGGCCAATTTCCGGCCCACCCGGGTATGCAGAACGCACAAACACAAGGCCCATTCAACTCCCTTGCTTTCAATGAGAAAAAGAAGCAAAGCAGTGGGTTTTGAGCTTCGCTTCCAGGGTGGTTTGAGGAGTGAGGTTAGGGCTTTGGGTTCAATTTGCGTTCACGGGTTCTAGGTCAGGGGCTTGGTGTTTCAAGATTTCAGGGCTAGGGGTTGAAGGTTGGGGAAGGTTGCTGGTGATGGTTCGTGGCAGAAGCGCCCTGAGACCGCTTCAGGGTTTCAAGTTTCAGGGTTTGAGATTTAATTTGAGGTTCTGAGACTTGACGGTTGGATTGGGGGTTCAGGGTTGTGGGGTTCCCGGGGCCAATGTTGCTTGGGGTTTTGCGGCTTTTTGAGCTGTTTCTTCGGTTTACCGCAACGGTTTGTAGCCGGCCATTCACCCTGAATTGCGCGACTTGTCTTCAGCGCCAGGGACTGCGCAGACCTGGAGGTAAACAGGATGAGGCTGATGAGAATAGATAGCATGACTGAGGTCAGTCTTCGCACACTGGGTGGTAGAAGTGCCCAAGCTGAGGGAGTGACCGGCATCTGTTGCTGGTTTACCAGAGATGCTTGAGGTAACCTGCGTCTGCACTGTAAGAATGTCCAACTGGGCACACCTCATCCCACACTGGCCTAGCGTTGATCGTAGACACACCTGCAATAGGGCCTTGCTGTCCGGCAAGAGCCTCAGCGAAAGCGTGAGAATGCGATTCCCTGCGCCTTGCCGCCTTGCCGCCCTTCCCCAGCCAACCCTCCAGCTCTCTGCACCTTCCCACCCTCCAATGCCGTGCGCTCGCTGAGACTCGAGCCGGCATCGAAGGAGCCGGCAGCGCATTTGAACCTGCTGCCCCGGGCCTTGCAAGAAAGAAACAGCCAAGCTCCGACGTGATGTTTCAGGCACTACCCAGACTATAAGCTCAAGCTTCTCGCTAAGAACCCGGCTTTCCTGAAGGCAGAGCCTTTGTTGCTGTTCCTGCGTCATACGCCGTTGGCGGCACCATTGTGTGCGCCTCGGAAATCGGAACGTTAACCAAAGCTCTGCACTCTCTCTCAAGATGGTCCGGGCTCCGTGCTGGACCGGCATCTGCACCAGCATCTCGTGCTGCGGCCTCGGCACCTGCCTCTGCTGCTTCTCGAATCTCCTCCTCGACCGTACCGAACAAGTCGGGCCTGCAACAAAAGCAATGTAGACAAAAGAGGGCTGAGATGCTGTAGGAACGCTTTCGCGCAGTAGTTCAACGACGGTACCTTGCCTTTTGGCCACGAAGCTTGCCAAGTTTGCCTCCACGTCATCTGCGAATGCAGACTCTTTCCTGCAGACCATCCGAAATGTCAGAGCTGAACACATCGGCGGGTACTAGTACCGAACCACTTATTGGACAGTCCTGGCTCGCTCCACCAGGGCATCCTTCTGGTGCTTCCACTTGGGATCTAGCAACAGCACCTGGCAGCTGTGCGAGCAAGCCCTGCACATGTTGACAGGGACCTGCATTCAGAGGTGAAGGCAGTGCTCCCTGGTATCCTTTTTGAGACGTTTTGGTGTTTTGGTTACATCTCCGCGTCTCAGCTCCGCCAGACAACGGCAAGGCCTTCAAGTGGTTGGACATCTCCTCGGCAGCAATCAGCTGGCCTCGCTCAAGTCTTGAAGTAGGATAAAACCGGACAACCAGAAGCAGAAGAACACACAACATCACCGGTTCAGCAGCTGCACTCGCACTCGTCATCCAACAAGCAGGAACATAATCTCAACGTGCTTGCCCAACTCGTGTACATCAGGTATCCCCAGCATCGACCTGGTGACCTCAAAGGTTGTCGCCGGTGGCACTGCAAGACACTCGGTAACTCTCCCGTCCTGCCAGCAACCTCTGCCCGGAACATGACTACATCTGGCATTTCGGAACGAACCTGTGATCGGGCAGCGCTGCATCAGCCGCTGTGCACTGCCCTGTCAAAGAAACCACCGAACATCAAAACAAAGCCTAGTGGAACTCCGAGAAACTCCAAAACGAGAACACCTGAGGGCAGGCAGGACCTGCAACTTATCGTGGCTCTGCATTGCTGCTTCAATCTCTTGAGGCTCAGGCAGCACGCCGGCCCCCTCTCTCTGTCTCCTTATCTCTCCCTATATCTCTTTCACTCTGTGTCACTCTCGCCTCTATTTCTCTCTGTGTCTTTATCTCTCTCTTCTGCGGCACAGCCAAGGAAGTGCGAAAACCCCTCCCGCGCGTGTACACACTGGTGATTATTCGTCTGATAGTGTTGAGACATTATCTCTCTCCTCTCTCTCTCTACCAGGACAGAGGAGGCAGGCGGACTCTCTTTCGCTCTCTCTATATCCCTTGATGCCGTTGCACCTTCTTTTCCGCCTCAGTTGTTGTTGTTGCTGCTGCTGTTGTTGGTGGTTGTTGTTTTCTCGGTAGAATCATGCGATAGTGCGACTCTTGTCCCATTGTCTCGCAGTCTGTTTCCCTGTGTCCCTTATTCTTCGTCTGCTTCCTACAGTATTGGCCTCCTTGCCTTAGCCGTAGCCTGAACCTCTCTCTCTCTCAAACAGATCTAGAACCTGACGATACCAAGCAAGAATGCTCGGACCACTCCACGAATGCAGAGTACTGCACGTTCATTGCTCCTGAACACAATATGCCATTTATCACCTGTTCATCCTGGCACTCTCTCCCAGGGGCTGCAGACCGTGACAAGCTCGGGCTCTGGACGGCCTTCTTCTGTCGAACATAGTCCTTCCGGACTTTCATCTCCGGCTCCTGAAAGCACTGAAAGCTGAAACCGGCTCGAACCCTACGTCTGGCACAGAAACTGCACTGCACTGCACTGCACGCCACACCTCGCCTGCATAGGGAGGGGGATCTCCGGCTCCAGGTCAATGGGCTCTTCCTCCGGGACCTTAATAACAGCACCAAAGCTTATTATGGATTTACCTGGGTGCGGATCCACTACAACCCCAGGTTTCGCGCACCTGTAAGACCAATCGTCTACAGACTTCGCACGGCATAATCTGCCACACTTGAGAGGCGACAGCAGGGAAGCTCGAATCCCAGAAGACAATGTTCCTACACAACTTCAAAAAGCAGTCGGAGTATACGTCATTAAACTGGGGCTTCAGCAGCGTTATGCCACGAGAGAAAGGGCACCAGCACCAAGAGTGGCACCCGCAGCAAAGTGTCGGTAAGCGCAGCACCATCTCTTCCTCTTCCCTCTGCTGCCTTTCCCTTTCCTCCTGTAGAGGAACTCGATGCACTCCGCACCTGCCTGCTCACAAAGATCTTGCTCGGTCCTTCTCGCGCTGCTCTTCTCTTTCCCGCTCAAGTTCCCGTTCTCGCTGCTCCTTGTGCTGCGGGCTGCCCGACCATCTCCAGTGCACCGAGATGCCCTCAGATCCCGGCTGCCATTTCTCTTTCTCGTCTTTCCCTTTCCTCCTTCTCTAGATCAATGGCCGGCTCTTCCTGCTATGATGCGACAGACAGCACATGCAAGGTTTCTCCCGATTTCTCCCTGCTGACAACTGACAACAGCAGCTTCAATCGTGGCAGCAACACCCTGATTTCCTCCTCCACGCCCTTTACCGGCTTTTCAATCCTGGCCTCTGCGAACATAGTGCCTGCCACAAGCAGACAGAAAGACGGGTCAAACGTGGCGAGGGCCAGGGCAGCCAGGGTTGGAGCCTGCTTGCTCCAGAGGTGCCGGTGCTCCCTTCGGAGCATGGGTCGAGGGATCGATTGGCGCGGCCTCTTTAGTGGCATGTAGCAACATAGAAGCGACGTCAAACTTCATTCCTCGGGCTGGGCTAAGGACAAGCTGCAAGTTTTCATCCTCTGCAGTAAACCTCACCAACACTTATTTTGTTCTTCTTCCTGATGAGCTCCATGGGCGCATGCTAATACCATGTCCAAGCTGATGGCTCAATCGTCTCCACAACGACAAAATCATGCCAATCAATCTGCGCCATCTGCTCCTGCACGACAGTCGACAGTGTTTGAATTTAGCACTCTCCGGAGTGCAACGTTAGACGCACTGGTCATGCCAGAGTGGTGTCGGGCCTTCTCCTCTTTCACTTCCTCCTCGCGGCCTTCAACGCGAAGAGTTTGCTCCACGAGCAGAACAAAAAAAGACGAGTGCTGAGCTGCGGGCTCACGCGGGTGGCTTCCTCCTGCTCGTCCCAAGCAAATCGTGCCATGGCCTCGGAGATGACACTCCAGGAAGAACATTCCCAGCACTAGGCCTCATGTTGCCCAGTGCTGTGACACCTGGCCTTGTCAACTACCTCCTGAGGGTTGCCAGTGCATTTCTTCAGCTTTTCCACCTGCCATCAGAAACTGTGAGAAGGGGCAAGCGTCTGACCGGTCCAGCCTCATCCTTGTTGGGCATGAGGCACTTCGTGTAAGCCTCAGCAGAGCTGTCTTGGCCTTGGGCCCAGACTGCCATCAGAAACTGTGCAGCCAACGTCCACCAAGGAGGTGAAGTAGCCGAAGAGAGCGTGAGTCGGCCTCGGCTCGGCGGCTGGCGGCTCGGTCTTCCAACTAGAAGTGACGGACATGCACCGAGGGCCCGAGGGCCCAGCTTCAGGAAGTCGAACTGAGGATTTCGACTTTCACGCTGCGTCAATCCGATCAGGAATTTCTGGCCTCGGTCGAAGCAAGGCTGGAGTTGGAATAGAAATCCCGAGCCGCAGCTATGTCAGGCACCATTGCGAGCGACGAATTGCGCTGTCAGCTTGATGATGTCCGTGTCCATCGGTGCCTAGAGCCAAGCAAACACAGCTTTGAAGGCGCCAGGCTTCGCGTGAGCTTTCTAGGGAGTTGAGGGTTGCCAGCAGGGAATCTACGACCTGCTGCATCTGACAACTTGAATTTCGTGGACATCAGCAACATCACTGTGCAGGACAATGCCTGACACCGCTGTCTATGACGTAGCTCCCACAACACTTTCCAAGCATTCTGGAGATCACCATGTCTCACCGACGTCTCTCTTTGCGCGCTCGGACATGTCTGCACTGCCAAGGCAATCATGCCAACGACGTGCTGAGAACATCTGAGCTAATCGCAATGTAGGGATGGTTCACCACATACCTGGCAGCATCACAGCCACCTTGCTAATCAAGCATGGGTCATATGTCGTGACCCGTGCCTTGTCAAGAAAATCTAAATGCTTTCACGGCATTCGGCCATGAGAAATTTTGGCAACTGTCTAGCTGCTAAGATACCTTGTTGCAAGATCATTCCACACTTCCAGCGTGCTCTCCGGCAAACATTTCACAAACCCGACAGCTGCAATTAGGCTCATCTTCCCTTCGTTTTTCCCTGTCTTACGCTATGATGCAACGGGCCTGTCTGCACTATAGATAACATCGAATGACCACAACTACGAACATCTCCTTGTTTCCACGGAGACTAAGCATTCTGTTTCCACCATCATGATACTAACATGCGTTCCTGCTAGCTGTCGTGTTCTATGTCAGCCACGGCTGTAACAACCCAAAACCCACATGCGAAGCCACTTGAAGCAGACTTTGCGAATCCTTGCATAGCCATCGTCTTGCGTTCCGAGGTGCTGGTCCGGTGGTGGTGGCTTGACTTGTTTCTTCCTCCTGAAACGAAGTTGAGAGCTGCTCTGAGAAAATCTGTACACTGTGGACAGAATTTTAACATCCCAGACGATAGGGCCAAGCTGCTTCTCTCCCATCGTCAATGCCTTAAGTTGTTCCTGCTCACAGAGCAAGTGACTGATGCTTGGCGCAACCGCTTTTGTCTCGCAATCGCGCTGTTTCGCCTTCTTCAGCCTCTTGGCATCCTCTTTTGCCTTCTGGTCCTCAGATGCACACAAGGATCTGGATCGACTCTTCCAACCATGCCAAGCATGCTAAACCAAAGAGTAAGGTCGGCGCTATGATTGCTTGAGGAACTTCGGGCTTTGTGTCCTGCGCATGCCCCGACAGCACAGCACTCTGGCAGGCACTGTGCAATCCCACGGCGCCTCAACAACACCAGTTTTGAACTCTTTGACTTTGTGTTCGTAGTAAGGCCTTCTGTCCAACGAGTCTGACCGATCTTGCAGAGAAGCACGGGACCAAGGCCTGTAGGGATTGTTGGGCAACAAGAAGGCGAACCTCACACAACTCATGCGAACATGAGCCACCAGTCGAACAGGCTCAGGAACGAGGAAATCAGACGAATACAGACAACACAAAGCCACGTGCATTTGCGCTCTGAGTGTGGCAGCTTGGTATGGTTCTGCTCACGAAGCACTCGCTGCTCAAAGCCTTCACCTTCGAACTCAGATCAGTGTGCTTGCGGCACAACAACATCAATGAAAACTGAACCGCTTCCGAGACATGACATCTTTGAGGCGATCGCCACATTTGGCCACGAATTGTGCGGTCTTGTCGATCACCTTGACAAGAATTTGACTCAAAACGTGCTAGCACTTTGTTGTCTTGACTTACTGTGTTCCCGCAAGCTGCATAAAACACAGACGTGCATCAAAAAATCTTGGACAACCGGCACCACGAATATCTGGCGGAGGGAAGATGAGCCCAACCTTGGAGCTCAGAATGAGCAGAGCCAACGCACTGACAGCGACTTTGGGCTCCCAACTCCCGCGTTGCTTTTGTCATCATCAGGCCTCGAAAATCCCGCCAGCCAACGAAATCAATGCTTGGTGGACGAAAGCTTCCCGAGCTCCACACATACTGCAGCGACCCAGGAGTGTCCCTAGCTGAGTCTGCTGCGGCCGAGCCACTAACCACAGCTGCGGCGTCTGCTTCGATGTTGCGTGGGACTCCGGACGCACCGCACAAAGTCGCCACAACCTACGCCGCCATCAAAAAACATTATGCTCTTACATTTATTCAGCTGAAACTGGTTCAAACAAACACACCACAACCTCGAATTCTCAAGATTTCAACAAAAACACAATGCGATGGCACGCTGTGCGGCAGCCACATTGCCGTTGAACAACAACAAACCTGCATGTGTGTGACCAAGCGCAAGTTACGCTGGCAGTAACATGGAAGGTACATGTACGGTTAAACACAGGTAGCAGTTGACTGGTGAAACTTCCGGGATAGGCATGGCATCCGAAACATCACGATCAAGCCGGCTGCACATTCACAAAAACATGGTCAGGAACCCTTCCCAGCAAATGGACGACACATATTTCCCACAAATAATCTATTAGCTATCGTTATGCACACATGTCCTTCCGATTGCAAAACCAACCGCTACAATCCTTAGATGCGTGGCAACGCACAGGACCATTTTTCCGGGCTTCAAAGGGGTGACATTCAAGAGCAGGGTTTCCCGAGCGGAGACCGACACGCTGCAAATGATCGTTTTGCCGATGTTACTATTGAGCCATGCGAACAGATTTTTTGCCTGCAAAGGCATTTTGTGGTGCCTCAAACAACAACATGCTCGACAAGCAAAAAAACAGCACTTGAACAATTTTCGATCATTTTTCTTGCCATTTCCAGGTTTTTTGTTTGAAGAAGCACCAAAAAAGTTCCGTTGTTTCTATGTACATGTGTCAGCAACAAAGTTGCATGCAATCGGTTGCTGGGTCTGAACCCTTTGCCTTGCGTCCTTAAAGAAGGTTTTTTGGGAGCGAAATCTGACACAGATGAAAAAACAGTGCCAGATCAGTCGGATGACTTGTGGAATCTAATCAAATTCGTTTGACTTTCGCATACTGCAAACTGCACACACAACAAGTACAAAGCATACAAATCATCACTTGTTTGTTGCGACTTGCTTTGGTTCTATGCAGAAATGCACATGAAAAGTCGAAATGAGATTCACTGCACGAATACAATAACACGACAAAGATCGCTTCCAAGTTAAAAATCTGGCGTCGCGTTTGGGGCTGGGCCCCAGACCTTCG